TGCTTTGGCTGTTTTTTTTTGGGGGGGGTTGTTGTTTGTTTTTTTTTTTTTTTAATTGAAGACTGTTAAATGGAAATTATATATCCATTAAAATGGTATTGTGCTACTCAGAGGTGTTGCAGAACTCAGTCACACCTCTCTGACTCAGTGTTACAATACATCTACAAGTAGCAACTGTCCCAGTTAAACATCTTTGTTCCATGTTTTGTCAGCTCTCTTCAGTGTACTCTACATTGTGCAGTTTAGAAACATGCTCTCAGTTAACCTGATGTGCCTTTAGGATTTTAATTCTAAAAAAGAGCAAAGGTACTTTTAAGAGAAAAAAAAAATCGAAATTAATTATTGCTGTTTCTATTGCATTACATTAGTCATCTTCAGATTGTACTCCAAGGTAATCTGAAAAGACTCTACTTCATTAACAAGAGATCCTGGCCAGCAGTTACATGACAAGCCCACAGATGATCAGTACAGGCAAAGTACTGAACTGTTATAATTCCATACTACTCACAGTGTAATTTCATATCCCTTAGCTTACTACTGTTCTATCCTACTAACTGCATTTTTTTTTTTTAATTATCTCCTCTTCTTCCCTATCAAAATGTATTTTTCAGAAGTGGAGAAAACAGGAAACAAACCCCCAAAATTACCCTAAAAACAATCCTTTTAAAAATGCTCTCAATACCTTCTTAAATGTAAAGAAGCATATTTAAAAAAAAAAAAAAAGTTCTACAATTATCTGTAGGTTAAAATTTATTTGACAAATTCATGACACAAAGAACTATCATGGTATTAAATATGATAGTCTGGATTTACAAGCCAGCAACATCTCATTATTATTGTAAAGAGAGAGGTTATATTCTGGTTTCTGCACTACTACCCTCCTGTCCTACTTTTTATGGTCTTTCCATACCTAACTCCTATTAGGTATAGTAAGAGAAGAGAACACCTGGCCAAATGGTTAATACAAGTCAATCAGTGTGGTCATTCTGAAGTCTATCATTACTGGCATGAAAACTCACCCTGGCATAGTCACATGGCTTTTCAATTTTATTTCTGACATACAAGCCAGGTTGTATTTAACTAATAAGATAAAAAGAGCACAAATGGAAAACCAGCTATTGGATCCAAGAAATTGGATTCTGGTCACTTATCTACAATCATTAGCATTCCAGACTTAAAACACAAGAAGAGCAGGACCATTCTGACACTAAAGCATTACAAAAAGGCATATTGCCGAATTCACAGTAATTCTGTCCTGGTTTCTCTAGCTCACCATCAGTATGTCTGTGAGCATGAGGGTGCACATCTGATGCATCTTCAGAAGAAATTTTTTATGTAGACTTGCATAAGAAACAGTGGGCAGGGAGAGGGGAGAGATTGCTCCATCAATTCGGATGTTTCAAAAAAATAAAAAAAGTGAAAAGACAAGATGAATAGAATTTTAAAGTGCAACATGCAGCCCTTTGAAAGCATACTGGGGAGGGGGGAAGAGAAAAGCCTCACAATTTTCCCTTCCATCTCCTGCACACCCCTCCTCTTTAAAAGAATCTTTATTGTTATTAAGGGTCATTTCTGACTAATGTATCCCTTTTCATAAATCTCTGATGTTGATATTCACTGTGCCAGAGTCCAAATGCATTCATATAAATAACTAAATTTTACTTTTTACAGAATTTCACATTAAGTAATAGCCAAGTCATTCACAGAACTTTCTCCAGAGTCAGAGCAAGTCTTGGGGGATCTTCGGTCAAGATCTCAACTTAGTTATCATAGCAATAGTAAAGAAAGAGATGCCAGAGATTTATGGGTATTTACATGATCAGATTTCCTTCTCCTTTTATGATTTTTTCTCTGATATGATATACCCAACCAAACTGGCGATGAGAAAAAAAATTTTAACCGAAGACTTCAAACTGAGAAACTAAAGTTATGAAATCAAATATGCAGGTATTATGAGTCACTGCTGACCTATCGGAAGAAGCTCAAGATAAGCAGTTTAAAAAAAAACAAAAACAAACACATACAAATTCCATTAGACAAGAACCCCTCCACACACATTTCCACAGTAAAAACATCCCAAACAACAACATCTTTTACCACTATTTTGTGCCTCTAGCAATATTTATGGTTTCAAGTGTACATTTAAGATCTCAGCCAATGACGTACCAAAATTAATTTACCAGTAGAAACTTTGTTCAGCCCCAAATATAACAGTAATTAAGAAATCTAAACTATTATTTAAGCACAAAATTACTTGACATAGTTTTAATTGCACTATCATTTTTTATCATTATTTCTTATTTGATTTGTAGTAAACACAGATATTCACAGCAGCAAAACTGTGCTACCAGGAAAGTAATCATGTTCACCCTACATTCTTAATAATGCTTTCACAAAATAATCTAGGTACAACCTTATTGGTAGTATCAAAAATTCACCTCTATTTCAGGGAATACATGCAGATGCTTACACTTCTTGCAATCATGGACCTTGGAAAATAAATACAATTGCCTACAGTCATGCTATCACTGCTAACTCCAGTAGTACTATTTCAGAAGTTCCCTTTCTTTTTCCAGCTTAAAGATATTTTTGACTAAACAATCAATGACTCCAGCCCTTTCAGAACAATTCTTACATTACATGAACCTTCTGATTGTACAACTATTGCAGGTCACACAAGTCATAAATTCTAAATAAAGAACGGGTTAGTTCCATTAGACATCTGTTGTCTCTAGAAAAGAAATGTGACTGTCATGTGTGCATACCACCAAGAAAGAGGCCAGAAGAATTCAGCTTGTGAAGTCTCCTGAAAGTACTAACCTGTGGCCAAACAGTGAATTCAAAATTCAAAACAATCCAGCTGAAACAAGATTTTTACAAAAAATGTATGACAAAGAAGAGAAAGCGCAGAACATACTCTTGTTGCTCTAAACATATTCTTCTGTTCTCTAGAATTTAACTCATTCCCATTTTCTCCATTAATTTCTGCTCCTTTTTTGTTTGTTTGTTTGTTTTTTAACCTTTCCCACATAAATTTTTATACTTGAGAACTCAGGAAATGCAATTAGGCATTATCAAAATAGTGATACACTTCCAGAAAGTCCTCCATAAAGCATTCTAGCAATTGCACTTGTCCTCTTGCTCTTTTGAATCTTTCATGAATAGAGATAAACCTGCAGACAGACCCTGGAAGCAGAAACTGATACATCCCAGAATCCTAGAATATCTTGAGTTGGAAGTGACCCATAAGGATCAGAGTCCAACTCCCAACTTACTATCTCATATAAACATCAGTATGGACAACTTGAAATCATAGCAAATCCACGGTCACTAAATACACCTGCCCACAACTAAGGCCAAGAGGTACATGAAGAAGATAGCAAGCTAAAAGGAAGCCACTACAAAAGAACTTCCTCTCTAAAGACAATTCTTCCCTTTTGTGTTCTTTCTGCCACAAAAATGAACTAACAGCATTAGAATTGTGCAGCTGTTGGTTATCTCCTGTGAACTCCAAGGAAACAAAGATTGTCTTTTCTGTCATTGCTTCTTTTTGAGCATATCAGTGTTCAACTTGTCTAAACAGGAACCAAGTTTCCTGCACAATTAGTACAGGACACCATAAGAAGGCAGGGAAATGAGAAGAATGGTGGGTGAGCCAGAGGAAAATAAAAACTTTACTTAGAAGTATGTAAGGCTAGTTATTGATTATTTTCACTTACCTCTTTCGGAATTAACTTGGCAAGTTGCTTCCTGTTGCTGTTTTCCCGTGTTCTTCCCCTAAATCTACACTAGACCATAACATTTCAGATTACTGTGTACATAAAGACTATCAGCTATAGGTACACATAAATGTGAAAAGTATTATGCCCTCTTTCTTAATTACCACAGGCTCTTGTTGTTGGCACTGCATTTTGGTTTTCACTTTTTTTTAATAGTAATCTGAAGTGACTGACCTCTTCATATGGGTTTCCTAGCTCTTCAACTAATGACTCCTCAGGTAAAATCCACAAAATGTAATTACAAATGTGCAACTGTATGAACTGAAATAACTTTTCCCTCTTTCTGAAAGAGAATTTTAATATTTTCCTACAGAAAATAAGATCTAGTAGAAACTATATTTCTGTTTTGCACTTGCTGGAATGACACCACTTGCTTTCTAAATTATGTTCCTCTTCAAAACCTGAAAACCTATTTTTCCTTCAGTATTTTCTGATAGTGGTTATCTGCAATGAGTTATCATCTACTGCTCTTTCCAAGCATCTGCAGCCCTCTAAAAGAGATGTAGGGTCTTTTAATGACATAGATAATTTCCTGTATTACCTCACTGAAAAAAAAAACCTCCAGTAATAATTGTTTATCTTGCTCAATGTGGAAATGACAGTAAAAATTTGCACTTTGAAGTGAATCTTAAAAATGCCAATGCTATTGTTTAAAATCTTAATTATTGTCTTATTTTTTATTCACTTGGCTCAGTAGAAGATAAGCAACTTCAAACCTGAAACCGTACACCATTCTAACTTGTTTGTAGTATTCTTTCTGAAGTATTTTAAGGGTTTAAAATACTGGGTCAAAAATGCTTTTTAGTTGTTTTCTCTCAGCTGATCAAAATTACAGCAATGTTCAATTTAATGTAGCTAAATTCACTGAGACATCTTCTGATATTTGCTATAAACTGCAACTCTAAATAAACATATGTCTTGCTAACACAGCTGGAAATATTTCACTTTATCTAAACTGATATTGCTTGTTTTAATAAGCTTCAGCACTTCAGTTTATGAAACCAACATTCTACAAATAAAATTATTCAGATAAAAAGATTTTTCTCTCATTTGCGATTATTTTTTTGTTTTTTACTTTTCTCCGGATATACATCTATCCAAAAAAGTTTCCCTGTTTTTTGTTTATGTGAGTGATACTGCAGGCAAGGCTGTATTTTCCTAGCTTATTAAAAAAAAAAAAAAAAGAGTAAGTGGCAAAAAGGAAACCTGCATTTCTCTCACCTGCTTAGGCGTCACCCCAGGCATAAGAATGTCCAGTACAAAATCTGACAGACCAAGTGAAATGACCGGCCGGTCACTTCCAATGCATTCACTGGGAAGAGATCTGGTAGTATCTCTATACCTTAAAAAGAAGGAGGAAAGATTTTTTAAAATATTGATTTTTGTTATGTCTTTCTAAAAATAAGTGTCTTCAGAACTAGTAAAGAAGTTAGACAATGCTGAGTAGCTCCAGGAGTGACCAGGAATTTCACTCCTTCATGAGCTGAGGAAAACGTAGTTATCAAGCAGTTACTGAAGTAGTTTCTCTGAGCAGACAAACTAGTTTGGAAAACATTAGCTGAAAATGTAACCTTTCATCTCATCTAAATAACTGTTTGAGGTACATGGATGTACAGACAGAGTATTAACTCACTATAAAATATCAAGTACTGTAATCATTCATGACAGTTGGGGTTTTTTTTTAAGACTATGTGCCTGATGTATAATTCAATACAGATTAAATTTAAATAATATGTAAAGGGGAAATTTTTATTTCCAACACCATGACATCTATAGCAAGTCCTATTGTAAATAGCAAAGTAAACCAGTAAGTTTTACAACTTCACATGAATATCAAAGTTTGTATCAAATGCAATCTATAAACAAATTTTAAAAAAATGTAGAACACTCAGGAACTAAATGGTAAGACATCTGAAACATGATGCAACACTGATAAATTTTTAATATATATAGTCTTGTTTATATATAAATATAGATGTAACATGGTAACTACAGTGCCCAATATACCTCTCAAACAGTAAAACACTGTTTTGGAGACTTAAGAGGCTACTTTTCTTGTCCACACTACATTAAATTTTATCTGTGCAATTTTGCATTCAAACTCACCCGAAATTTCCCAGCATTACCCAGTTTCAAGCTAGTTGATGCTTTCTCATTAAAACATAATTTTATACTGCAAGATAACTTGAGAAGCTAAAATAGATTTACTCCCTGTGTAGTCTCAAATACACTTGTGGTGTAATCTAAGAAGTTCCACTAATTGTTGTTTTACCATCCTAAACTCACATTATATAGATCAGCCTATGCATAAAACAAGTTTTATGTTCAATATGACAAGAGTGCCATTTCAAAATTGCAGAAAGAAAATTCAGAGCAAGTGAGAAAAACTGAACAAATACCAAATGCATTTTTATCTAGGACATGCATTTTCATAATTCCGTATCTTAAGTGACTGCATGCATTCAACACAGAAGGTCTTCCTGCATAACCCACCTCTTGAAGACAGAAAGCGGGCTTCTGAAACCCAAACAGATGTTTTGAAAAACAAGAAACAGTATTAGAAGGTTGTTAATGAGGCCAGCCATGTCCACCCTGCTGTTTCTGGCCTGATTAAGGGAGCAGAAAAAGGGCAGTGCAGTTCTATCAGCTGTGATCCTGACAATTAGATGGCAGCAGCAGCAGTATCAATTCACTACTTCATTATTATGTGCTCTGTGGGCATCCTCTAGCTTCTGACAGACCATCTGTCTTGGAAAGTGATGCACTGTACATCAGGGACGTGGATAATGCTATTTTGTCCTTATTATTAGCTGTAAAAATCTGTTGAAGAATCTTCTTGCTGATAGATGACACTGTACTTGTATCCACTTAAGGACCTGAAAAGAAGTAGGCACTCCTGACGCTTTGTCTCCAGGTTGTGCAGTTAAATCTTCATGTTACTTCTCAATCCACAGTGCTGGAGACTCCAAGTGGCATCGCAGAAACCAGCATCAGTCATCCTTCAGAACATGTGAAAACAGAAGCAGATAAAGGATGACTAACACATTACAACATTAGTTCTCAGAAAATCCCTGCTGAGACATTTTAATACATGAACTTTCACCAGCTTTAGTCCAACTCAGTAAAGATTGCACTGTCTGTTGATTCCTTATTTTCCACCCCTCCCATCCACACAGGGTCAGAAACTGACATATTTCATATTTATATAAAAAACGCTCTCAAACACATTTTTCATGATAGGAAAAAATATTTTAAAATCCCTCAATATGCAAAAGGCAAAACATGGAGTATTTCACCATACAAGCATAAGTATGATGTGTTCTACAAGCAGCAAAAAACAGCCAAACACTGACATCACAAGAATCAAGGTTTGTAAATTTTATCAACTATCACTAAATGTTTCTGCTCATATTGTAGGCTGGGAGAATATTTTACTACAACCTATAAAATACACCATTATGTCATTAAGGTGTCTGTTTCTTATGTCCTTTAACTTACTTTTTATATCCATTTCAGAAAATCGATACAAATTATTTTTGGAAATACCGCAACATAAACTACTGAGATCAGACTGCTTTATATTAGTTTAATATTCATATATTAAGGTTATATCAACATAAACCATTACACTCCTCATCACTTTAACTGTTCTTTCTTTCCAATTTGACACAACATTTCAATTTCAAAATTTTTAAGTTTTTTTATAAGTATGCTAGAAAATCACATTGTGTGTTACTGGAGACATATACTGGATTTTTTACTGAGCAATGCAGTTCTGGCATAAGAAGAATTTCAAGTCATAATAAAAATCTTTGAAATGTATTATGTAGTAAGTTTTTTAAGATGAGTAATAATAGGAAAAAACACCCAAAAGCAACCATCTCCCACCCCTGGAAGACAGTCAAAATAATGCTGTAAGGACGAAATAGAAAAGGATTCTGACATGAAACAAAAGTAAAAATCATCTGTTTTACAAAAATGTCACTTCCATCACAGGGAACATGTACTGAAAAGGCTGCTTATGAAACAAAAGTGCTTATGCAAAGACTAAGAAGCCATGCTGGCCACTTGCCGGTTGTTTGGCAGCTACACTAGATCTGCACTGAACTATTTGTAAAAACCTGATTACATTAATCAGCAATAAAATTGCTTATTTTATTCACTGAAGGATGAAACAAAAGATTCAGTCACAAACAACTAAAAATAGACTACTTCTCAGTTGTCAGCCCACCAAAACCATGCCAAAGCTGTCCAAAATAATTCATGCAAGCAATGATACAAGACTAATTCTTTTTTTTAATGTAAAATTTCATGTCCTCACTTCTGTGATATAAAATTGTTTTCATAAGTGAACTGTGGAAAGCTGCAACACATATAAAGGACTGTACTATGATGGAAACCAAAAATCATTTAAAAAGAAGACAGGTGTGATATGCTTCACAAAAAGTTAAGACAAGGCTTCATTACTTGTACTCTTTAAGGTATAATTATGCAACAGCTACTGTTCAGCATCTTTGTAAGCCATCTGGCTGGAAGTTCTAGGGCTTTTAAAATTTGTGTTACCCAAGGAATTATACCTTTGTTTTCAGACCATACCGTAAAAACACCTGATAAGCAAGAACTCTGAAGAACAGAAGCAGGAAGAATACACTGGATTTTAACACATATAGAATTACAACATTCCAACTTAATTTTTTGGGATCTGAAAAGATATTTCCCAGTGACTAGAAATAAAAACAAACATTTTTTCTTTGCCAGCTTCAAGACATTTGACACTGATTACACCAAATCTGTTACAAACATCTACCTGATTTACAAATTAAAAGGCAACTACTGAGAAACCTGATCGTTAATAGTTACTCCTCATCTGAAATATGAGAATAAAAATTCTCACTGCAGAGTTAAACATGGCAATAGCAAAAATCACCAGAACACACCTTAATGTTACAGAGGAATATCTGACAATTCATGGGTTTTAGAATGCTGACCACGAGAGAGGAAAAAAACCCATAATCTGGAATTACACACAAAAAAAGAAGACATTAAATCCGTAGTGAGATCAATACATGTATGCCCAACATCTGTACATTCTACATAAAAAATGGCCCAATTTCATCAGCTGTGTTTTTACCTACAGTTTCATCAGCTTCATGGATATGAAATGGATAAAAATTCAATGCACCTGGTACTGAAGATTAGACCCCTGCACAACCAAATTTTATATTTGGGAGATAAGAAGAAGAAGAAAAAAAAAAGGCAGCACTATCATGAACAGAATTCGATGTCATTTCAGACGATGCAATACACAAGAATACCAGACAAGAAAGGAAAGTGAGGATGAGAGAATCATTAACAAGATTCACAGTTACTTAGGCTCATTATGTGGACATCTTGATACCACTGTTTTGCTTTCAGTTTGGGATGAGAGATCCCAAGAGAACATAAGCAGTGAAGTATATAACACATAATTAAAGACAAAGACTGGAGTGAAATGAGAAAAATGGAGAAGAAAACTAGATTAGGAAATGTAAGCATGTTACTTTATCCCACATGACCCACCCAGACATAGAAGACAACGATATAAAACAAGGGAGTGAAGAAAAAAAATAAACCTGCCATCAACAACTAGCACAAGGAGACCTTACTGAATAAGCTAAGGGAAAAAAGAATGAAAGAAGTGGCCAAAAAGATGGAATTCAAAATACAATTCAAAATAGCATGCAAAATTAAGTAAGAATATTCCAGTGTGATGTTATAGAAATTAAACAGTGAGTCTTTCACAAGAATAGCAATTAAATAATCAATTTCCAAAAATCAACTACAGAAAAAGAAAGCTCTGCATTAACTACAAATTCATAAAGCACATTATAATAACTTATTGCTTCCAGTTTAGTAACTATAAGATTTTATATACAGTACCAAGTGAAGAAGCCAGAAGAAAAAACCTCAACTTCAATCACCCCTATCTTCAAATTAAAAAAAGATTGTTAAAGCTTATGGGCATTAATTTGAAAGCTGATCACAGGTGGTAATTTCTCATAGTTGAATCTATTTTCTTCTTTCTTACACATTGAAATAATGGAATTGATCAAGGACTACCTGAGTTCTGTCTTCAGCTAGAGAACAAAGTTCACATATCATCTTAAGACAAAACTTTCAGCTTAAGCAACAACTGGGTATACAAACAAGTATAAGGTAAGTTCAACAAATGAACTAGAGCTAGACCTCTAAGTTGAAGCACGTTGGTTCTAGTAACACAGGAAAATCAGTATGTACTGGGATCATCTTAGGAATTCATAATGCACTAAATACAGCCCCCTACGACACCTTGGTCAAAGAGGCACACAAAAAGTGTCTAGCAAGAACTGTCAAATCAGACAGCCTCTTGAGCCTCAACGTCAATAAAAAACATTTCACAACCAGTCAGGTATCTAGGGTTGTGAGTGCAATTATCAGAAACACAGCTGCATAACAGTGATGACACCAGACTGGGAGGAGTGGCTGATATCACTCTGCCATTCAGAGGGACCTTGACAGGCTCGAGAGGTGGGCTGACAGCAACCTCATAAAGTTCAACAAGGAGAAGTGCAAAGTCCTGCACCTGGAGAGGAACAACTCCAGTCACCAGTACATGGTGGGGGCCACCCAGCTGGAAAGCTCCTTGGCAGAAAAGGCTTTGGAGATCCTCATGAACACCAGGCTGAACGTGAGCCAGCGATGTGCCCTTGCTGCAAAGGAGGCTAATGGCACCCTCAGCTGCATCAGCCAAAGTACTGCCAGCAGGCCACGGGGATCCTTCCCCTCTACTCAGCACTGGTGAGGCCACACCTGGAGTACCACACAACCAAGTTGGTGAAGGGTCTAGAGGACAAGTCTTATGACAAGCAGCTGAGGGAACTGGGGTTGTTTAGCCTGGAGAAAAAGAGGCTCAAGGGAGATCTTATTGCTTTCTACAACTACCTGAAAGGAGATTGTCAGTCTCTTCTCCCAACTAACAAGCGATAGAACAAGAGGAAATGGTTTCTAGTTGCATCAGAGGAGGTTTAGATTGAATATTAGGAAAAATTTCTTCGCTAAAGGGCTACCAAGCATTGGAACACAGGCTGCTCAGGGAAGTAGTTGAGTCACCATCCCTGGAGGTATTTGAAAGACACACGGAGATGTGGCGTTTAGGGACATGGTTTAGTGGTGGACTTGGCAGTGTTATCGGTTATAATGTTAACGGTTGGACTTGATGATCTTAAGGGTCTTTTCCAACCTAAACATGATTCTATTCTATGACAAGACCAGAGCCAAGGGGCACAAACTGAAACACAGGAGGTTCTCTCTGGGCATCAGGAAATACTTCTTCATTGTGAGGGTGACTGGGCACCCAGACACAGATTTAGGCCCCTGGCTGTAGGTGGATCTGCCTGAGCAGGGATGATGGACAGGATAACCTCCAGATGTCCCTTCCAACCTCTATCATTCTCTAAGTCTGTGAAAATAAGTTGTTTCAACCTTTAAAAATAATATATAAAGCATTTCAGTATGTTAATTAACAGTAGCAAGACAATTTTAGATAAATAGATGGCAGATGATGGGGGATTGTAACCATGTAAATTCTAGCATTCTCCATGACAGGAAGAAGATAAAAGGATCCAAGGATAGATGATACCAAGTATTTTCCCTTTGGATTGTGGTGGCAGAGGATGAAAAATTTCTATTTTCCAAACTGATGTCTCCCAGTTACTTTTACAACTCCTCTGCCAATACAGGGCAATGAATGAGTAAAAAAATGTCAGGAAATCCAAGAAAGTTCTCCTCAGATAAGCTGCTTTTACAGATTAACATTCTTTGGACAACAATGAAAATATGATTTCAGAAAACACAGGGCCTACGCAGTTTTTAATGCAATGTATGGTCAAACAAATGTAGGCCTATATTTAGAATTTTGGGGTTTTTTGTTTTTTGTTTTTGTTTTTTTTAATAAGTATCCTAAACTTTTTGAACTAAATAA